AGCGTTGCAGATTTCCATTTAGCTATCTAAGAAAACCTGATAAGCCACAAAAAAATGGTCTTTTTTAAATACTATTTCGAATTCTAGAAAATCAAAGGTAACAATCAGTGTTCCCCATCGTCGTCTCACACCCTACAAGGGCGCAGTTTGATTGTTGAGGTGAGAGATTCGGAAATGAGCTCGCATACTATGTATATGTTATGGAGGGGACATATCAGCATTTTAGAAAGGCTTAAGTTAGGCATGATCTTCCCCTGGGGGAAAGAAAAAGTTGGGAAACACTTCGTTTGGATGTCTAAAGTTCGGCCAGAACTTTTTCAAATATTATGATTTTAATCGTAACTGGTGTCTTATGCTTCTTTTCGGAGTAAATTAAAATTTTCTATACCTTGGAATAGAAATTAAACTTACCGTTTAGTTTAACGATATTTTTCATGATGATTGATTTCAGTAGCATGAAAGGCCATGAAATTTGTCCACTTTTATTTTTTAAGTTCCGTGTTCTACAAGGGTAGATTGATCCTTCAAGCATTAGCATTTCTTTCGCAATGAGACATCTTTTTGCAGATTCAAACTTTGTAGTCTTTATGCCAGCGAATAAATACTTTTGGTACAAATTTTGAAGGAAACAAAACAAAAAGGAAAAGCAGAATACAGTCAGTCGACATAGGTAATCTAGCCATTGAATGGAAATACAGAGGGTGTTTTCACATTTTTGTAACGATTTTGATTTTGTCCATGAATTTAAATTTTATTTTTAAAAAATACAATTGTGACTTGCATCAACCTAGAATAAAGTTTAATTTGGTCTGCAGCATTAAAAATGTTCTTTTCATTAAAATGTCGCTGAAAAATAAACAATGGATCGAAGGCTATATTTTTGCGTTGAAGTGAAATACTCTTATTCAATTATTATGAAAAGATGTGAAAAGCAGGGTTTTAATATTTCTACACGTAAAATAAGTGACATAATTAATATGAAAAGAAAGAAACGTCAAAGTTTACATCTGACTAGCAAACGGCAAAAAATGCATACCCAACAAAGGTACGTACAGCTCTTATGAAATCTGAAGTCGCATCTTATGTTTAAAGGAAAGTCCGGCTCAAAGAGCTATTTCGAAATCTGTTAAATATCTCTGTAGGAACTGCTAACAAAATTATAAAATCTGATTTAAAACTAATCAAAACAAACAAAAACACCACCACCACCAAAAACGCATGATGTTCATCGCCTAACACCGAAACATGTTTCTCAGCGGTAGACTATTTGGAAATTGCTGTTTGAAAATTATTTGGCTGGGGAAAAATGGAAATATATAGTTACAATTGATGAGGCTTAGATATATTTATCCGACTACAATAGAAAAAGATCGATTTACTATCGATAAAGAGGAGAAAAAAGACTTATTTTGTTGGTTCAGAGAAAACAAGAAAAGTTTTTCTAAAGGTTCTATGGTTATTATTGGATTCTTTTATGACGGAAAACTTAAAATTAAAAAAAAAAAAAAATGGTTTACTATGAGATATGTTTTAGCACCTATTTTTAAAGAAGAAATTCCATCTTTTCATCCAAACAATCTTCGCTATGTTAAGTTCCATCAGGATAAGGCTCCAAGCTATACCTCTAAATCTACAGCACTATTTTTTGAAAAATGAGAAATAAAACCGTAATTGAAGCTATTTCCTTCAAATGCATCTCACCTAAGTCCCCTGATGTGTCTCCTATGGGTTTTGAAACTCCTATGGACTGTGCATTTGGACAAGCTCTTTATAAGCGGCATCCCAAAACATTGGATGAACTCTGGAATATGAAGGAGGAGTGAATAAAATCAACCTTCATGTTTTAAGACAAGGACTTTTATCTTGGAAATCAAGATGTAATATGAATGTTAAACAAAAGGGTTATCAGATTGAACATATTAGAAAATAAAATTCTAAGGTTCCTTTACATATAAATCTTTCCAAAATTGATTCAAAAATGTGTGAAGACCCTCTGTACAATCCTGAATGAGTAGCAGTCATGATGTCAAGTGATGTGAATAACGAAGAAAAGTCAGACTTGAAATTCAAACTATAAACATGAAATTTTCTAACAGGTGTGACTAATTATGGACAAGTGACACTGCCGGAAAGCCTGTCAGAAACAATCAATCAGCCTTGTGATTTATTGACATTTTTCTTAAGTAGTGTCCATTCCTACTGTGACGTTTGTTCTTGTGTATCATTAATTATTTTTCTTCTCTCGAGTATTTTTAGAACATTTACGTAACATGAATTTCAGCCTTATTGAAACATCTAAAGGCTAACAATGCGCAGTCTATAACTACTGTCGCTATTCGCAGTTTCACGTTAATGTGAGATCTCACATTAATGTGAGATCTCACTTTGATATTTTAAAGGTATCTGACTCCTTGAGTTATTTATCATTTTTTTACCCATTAATACGTACACAATGTAAACATTTTCTTGAAATATATATTTCTGCAGTCCAGTTGCTTCAGATTTTGTAAAACAAATTATAATCTAAGTCACTGTTCCGAGTTAGTGAAAATTAATCGAGAAGATGTGGTTTTGTGCGGAAGGTGTGCTCCACTAAACTATACAAAGAACTATTTAGCCATTGAAGCAATGAATGCTTCTTGTACATAAGTGCCACTAAACCGTTGAAAACAAGTAAAATAAAATGTTAGTAATTAAATTCTATTTTTATTCTGAACACCATTATCGTAATGTTGGTTTTAGTAAATAACTGTAATCATTTATTAAAAATAATGAAACAAATGTAAGGTAATTTGAATTTAATTACGAAGGGAGTTGATCTATCATAATTAAATTAAGAAAATACCTGCATTTTTTTAAAATTTATAAACTTGGGGCCTGTTGAATAGTATCACTTCGCTACTTAAATATACCTTTATTACCCAATATTTCCACTATCATTTCCCTGTTCATCATCGCACATACAGAACTAATCACATAGTAAGCAGTTATTTATGTGTGTGTATTGCTTGCTCGCGTGTAGCAATTTGTTATTCAATATATAAAATTGCCAATATGACAGTGCTCTGCACACTTGCTGTGCAAGGTAAAAAATCCGATACAAAGGTAAAATGAAGCTAGCGTCTAAGAGAGACTCACTTTTTAAATAAAAAAATAAAACAAGATCGAGATTTCCTAAAAATTATTGTAGATTCTGGCTCTGCTTCGTCCTCCCGTCATCGCTGAGTAATTTGATGGAACTCCAAAATCGTTTGTTCAGACACGCATATAAAACAACCTTAATGAAGTATCATGAAGCGATTATAAAAGCTGGAAGAACACGAAATAAGTACTTCTGTACTTGCCAAACCATGAAAAAAAAAAAAAAAAAAAAAAAAAAAAAAGAAAGAAAGAAAAAGAAAAGAAAAAAAAATCAGTTTTGTGATTAACCGGGGGAAAAAAGTATGCTTTAAGTCGAGACCATTTGTTGCGGCTATTCATGGACCGATTTCCTTAATTTGGCTATTAAAAGAATCGGAGCTCAATGGTGTACAGTCTGCTCATTATCTTACTGCATTCAGATGAGAATGATGAAATTTATACATTGCGATATTCATTCACAAGTTACTTTTTTTGGAACATTTTTTAACTGTCCATGTGTGTGGTTCCTACCTTTGTGACTACCTAAAAGGGGTATACAGTTTTTGCTCTTTGAGTCTCCACCTATCGTCGCTTATTACTCGAAACACTATTAAGATGCGATCATTCTTTCCCCCTGATTATTCGTATATATTATTTATTATGTTTAAGATGAGCATTTAAACAGAACCGCTCCAGTATTTTGATTTAGAATTTTTGTGGCCTGTAAGGAAATCGAGTTAAAAATGCTGGATTAATAAATGTTTATGCACGATAGATTGCTTCGTGCATCTTGACTTTTAAGGAATGTTTCTAAGCCACCGTAAGAATACGAAATTTGCTTTCGATCGTTAAATAAATTTTTTTCTTGCTATATAACAGTTTTGAAACTAGTGACTGTAACGTAAGATTTAACTCGCTGTAATGTAATCTTTCTGGATTTGTTTTGCCGATCACATATAGTACGGAATATAAAAGGAAATGATGAAATACTTTCATCAAGCAATAAAGACATAATAATCGGAACGATTAAATATTATTCTAAGTTTTTTTTCATGCTGAAAAGTTCTTTAACGATGGTATATTTGTCTAGGAATAATGGCACTGTAATAATCTTTAATTAATATATTAAGTAACTTGAACTGTTGGATAATGTAAGTAACAATGGTCCTTATATTGTTGCTTTATCTTTCGACTTCACATGCTATCATGAACTAATAACTTAACATGTTGCATTTTTGCTTTTAATTATTCCTTTTTAATAATTTCATTTTAAATTGGCTAATGAGTAAATTCATTTCAATAGAATTCTAACTACCTTTTTTCAAAGGAGATAATATATAATAATTTACTAGAAAATAAATTATTTTATTACTTTGCAGCTTTAGCGCAAGTATTAGGCAATTTATTGCATATAATTACTTTATATATATATATTTTGAAAGTGGTGTTAGTAATAAATTCAGTGCATTGGTTTGAGAGCAATAGTAAACAGTTGGTTCTTTAAAAAAAAGTGTTGCAGTTTGAAAACTTCAATTAATTTATCATTCATGTTTCAATAATAATAATTAAATAAACAAATAAATTAATTTTAAAAATATTAAAAATTCTTTTTTTCAAAATTTGGTTTAATACGTGAAACAAATTTAAGCAAAGCATTGTGATGATTTAAGAAATAGTCTCTCATAAATTATAAAAGTCTGCAGCATAAAATCGTATATTTTAAATGAGCTATTCAAATAGCCGAGTCAAACCGGGCGGATGCTGTGATACCGTTGCATCGTAAGTTAAATTTACGTGGAGAGATGTGTACTTATTTAATAAAGAAAAGACTGTTCAAGACATAGTTGTGCATTAATTTTACTGGATCATTTGTTTTGCAGAAGGTGGTCGACTAGAGAAAGAGGTGAGGTATATGCGGAAGACACTGGGCGAAGGAGTCGGCAGCACAAACCAAATCCTTATCCACACTCCAAAGCAAGAAGGAGCCAACGTTCTGCATCCTGACACTTTGCTCGCTCACCTACAAGTGCTCAAGGCAGCTATCCAAGTTTCCGTGGAGGTCTTTGACATGTGAGCACTCCTCCTTTTTTTTATCCCCCCTTTTTTTTTTCTTTTTTCCAGCTCGCTTCGTATTTGCAGTGACACCGTATTACCTTGCAGGATCAAACTCTGCATCGTATCTTTTGTACGATTCGACGTACATGCCTATTAAGGGATCACGGTAGTCAGTTTCTTTACCCCTTCCGTTAAGTGTAACCAGACCTGTTCTACCTTCTTGCAAACGAAAAATATTCAGGAATAGTTCAAATGCTCTTGAAACGCCTGTTTTAATGTTTGGTAGTATTGTTATTTACAAAGTCAACAGTAATCCGTTGATCTAGTCAACTTTTCAATGAACGTTGTGCCATTAATTTTTTGCCTGGCAAAATAAACAGAGAAGTGGACTGTAATTTTCGTGATTTTAGATTATAAGGTGCAAATTTATTCATTTTCTATGCATTAGTCCCTTTCTTCCAAAATTGTTGCAACTGTTCGAAATTTACAAATTAATTAATAAAGTAAAATTGTTTTAAATGGTACTTTTAAGCTCAGCATGGTGAAACTGTAACGGCCAGGTGGTTGTAGATTGTCCGAGTACTAGATTTTTAGTTATATTTCCATGGAATTTATAAATTTTCAAGAAATCGCTAAATTAATCGCTAAAATTAATCCCTAAAAATCAATTAATTTATTGACTGACTGGTTTTGAATATTTTCTGCGACATTCTGGAATTTTGGTAATTAAACTAGTAGAATTTTATAGGAATCTGCTTTCTAGTAACTTGATTTTCGAGATGTGTTGGGGACTAATTTCTTTTGTCACGAAATGTTTGTGATCGAAGAATATACGCAAAACTATCACATTTCTAAGTAAAGGTAATGATGTGAGGAAAAAATCCGAAATTCTCAATCTTATGCAGAAATTAAAAATGTATCCATCTAATTCAGAAATGAATAACAGCAGTTTATTAACAGTTTAGTAACTTCATGTTTCAGTCTGGCTAAGTAATTAGTTTTTTAACATCCGCTGTGCATATTTTTCGACACCACTGTACATATTTTTCGACAGTATGCTCTTAAATAGTTTGTAATGTATGTGCTTGTTTTTAGATTATAAGATGCAATATAAATGATAAACTATAAAATTGGAAAAATTGTTATGAGCTTCATATTCTCATAGCTTAACATTTTTGGTTTTCAGAACTTCCAATAAAAGCCATCATTTTGGAGATTAACAATTGTACATTTCAAACGTACTAATTTCTATAACATTCTATCTTTTTTGTAAATTTTATATAATCTAAAGAATGACCTAGTTTGTTCAAGTTATGTTATTTAATTGAACCATGTGGATGTCTTTTGTAAATAATTGGATTTTATTTTTTTCAGCCCCTGGAGCTTAAAAGATCTGTGTTATTCTCCAAATTTTCCTCTTTTTGATAAACATTATATAGATATGGTAAGTTTCTTTCTATATTTGATCACATTTTATTTTTAGAAGTTCCTTGGCCTGTTTTCGAGGTTAAATGAATATTTTCCCTTGTTTTCAGCCCTTAGAGAATTTATTTCCCTGTGCCATAATTACCCCTTTAGATTGTTTCTGGGAAGGATCCAAGCTTCTAGGCCCAGAATTTCCTGTTAAAATTCCGTAAGTCAAATTTTTTATTTTTAAGCATATTGATGACCATATATATTATTCCTGTAATTAAAAATTTTGCAGAAAATGCTTGAGGTGCAGTTATTTTTTAATACAGTCAAAAGTCTTTAATCCGGACTCGTCAGGACTTCGGCAATTCCGGATTATCGGTTTTTCCGGATTATAGATCATCAGTTTAAATCTGGTAAGATGGCATGCAGAAATTATAAAATTAAAAATATGGAACCATAATTTAGGAAATAAAGAGCAATTAAGATCTAAAGGGTATCAGAATTTACAAATAAAAGATTAATATTTATTTGTGTATTTTATTAAACATTTCTTTCAATGCGCGCATGTGTAAAGCATACATTACGCATAGTCGAAATTAGAAAATTGTAACCAGAAAACTATTTGGTGTGTATTCGTGATATTTATAATGACAAGGAATTTGATTTAAATCCTATCAAAGACGGAGTACATCGAGATGAAATGCTACATTTAGTAAGGAATTACAAGCCGAACAAAATAAAAGCATCTGCCCTGAAGATAATGATAGCGCTGACAGATCAACTTCTAGTTCATTGCGCGCGGCGACATCTCCCCCTCCGCAGAGCAGCGTGAAATTGATAAACAAATTTCGGAACGGTTAGAGAAACAAAGGATATGCCTTTATCCATTTTTTGCAGCAATTCCACTTTTTGTTTAATATACATCAAAACATGCTTTCACTTTGTAGATCCTTTTGCAGCTCCAGAATTGGAAATTCTTTTTGACATAATCGAAAGTTCAAGCTTACTTTTATAAAATTGCTCTAACAGTCTGCAAAAAATAGTAAGCGGGATCCAATTAGAAGATTAAGGAACAACGTAATCTGCAACATTAAGTGAAATAGATAATTTTAGCTTAGCTTATACCGCCCTTTATACATTAAACGCACATGCGTAAAGGTATTATGCACTTGCGTGAATGCATATGTGCATGCGCAGAAAGTTTGTAGCTTTGAGGTCTGGATTATAGATCATTCCGGATTATGGACGTCCGGACGTTCCGGATAATGGACATCCGGACGTTCCGGATAATGGACGTCCGGAAGACTTTTGACTGTAAAAATTATTAACTAGTCAAAGTAATATCTATTAGAATACACCAACTTTGGCAAGCACTCCTGGCATTCCTAGTAGCATTACTAAAATGCTTGTTTTAGTATCTGCCATAGACAAACTCTTGTGCCAGTTTCTATTGCTCGAAGTCTTTAAAGAAGTCAACCCTATGGAACCACTTTTATGACAAAGAATAAAAGAATTCGAAAATACAGGAATTTGTTTCTAATCAAAGACTACCAAGTTTACATTGTTGAAATGCCCATTTTTTGAAATGTGACACTGTACTGAATGATTGAAAGGTGCTTTAAACTCCATTTGCATTGCATGCAATCATTAGCTTCCAATTATAAAATCTTTTATAAGCTACATTCCATGCGAAAACTTATTGTAGCAAGTATTGCATCATTATTACTACAATAGCCTCATATGTACTATGAATTTGTTCTTACCAATCTGTTCAAACATTAATGCTGGAGAAGTTCAAATTTGTACCTTGAAATTCAAATTTGTAATTGCAGGGTGGCGTCTATTGACTGCAAGGTAAAATGCTGGTGTTGTCACCTGCTATCAACTATCTACAGAGTATGTGAATGTATTCTAACAGCCAAATTCAAATATTGCTCATTTTATGAATGTGATATATCTCTTCTGCAAACTTTTTTAACAGTATTTTTGGATTTTACATCATGAATCAAAAGATTTGAAAAGAGCAATTCAGTATTTTATTGCATCTGTAATTGCAGTACGATTATTATTTGCCATACAATTATCAAGTTCATTTTGATAAGCGTACTGCAAAAGCTTCCGTGATTGTAGACATAATTGAAATGCTGTTAATTTAACTTCGTGAGGGTCACCATTTTCTCCCCTTCTATAATATAAAATATATATGTATTCTTTTTGGAGTGCCAATTACTAGAAGTTTTGGAGAGCCAGAGTTACTAGAAGATTGTTTTTGAATATTATGTTAGAGCTCCCCTTGCCTCCCAGAGAAGAAGTAGTCATGGAATTTTCCATTTCTTTTTTTTCTTTTTTTTCTTTTTTTTATTTGACGTACATTATACCAGGAGCATATGATAATCACACTGAACTAGCATAACTAATTTCAAGTTTTATAGCTATATGCCTGTTAGGTGAAGACTGTGAGAAGAGAGAACAGTGAAAGTTAGCAAGCGACTAAATGGATTTTAATTTTTCTTCCTGAATGACTTTTATCGAATTAAGTTGTTGGATATTAAAAATGTCAGCTGAATATGAGATTGGATAAAAGTTTGACATCTCTACCTACTACTACAATATTTCATATATTATCTACAAATAAAAGCCAAATGATCAAGAAGAAATATGCTGTAGTTAGAAATCTGTGATTAATGATTACATGGTATTTCTAAGCTGAAGTAAACTGATGAAAGATAAAACTAGATGGAACTTTAAAAAGATAACAATGCAGTTAAAAATGAGACCAAAATCTAAAATTAAATCAAAATTTTTATTTTACATGTATGTAATATTTAAATAAAGATAATAAACGTTTAAAAATGATTAAAAGTGTAATGCTTGCACATATGTATGATATGTAAATTAAGCAACAATTTTAAAGATAAATAATAATAAGAACTGTACTTTTGTTGAAATAAAAACCAGCCCATAAGTTATACCAGTGTTTTCCTTTCTTATGTATAATTATTTGTCAAATTCTCCCTTCCCCTGAGGTCTAATGAAAGGTCTAAGGCTTTACAATTCATATAAAATTAAAAGAGAAAGGAAGAAATATAGTACAAACAATTCATCGAAAATTTTATCATGATTTATTATTTTTTTTAAATGCAGCCAATCGTTTATGGGTTTTATATTTGTCGAGAAAATATGTAGCCAGATATGTAGTGTAGAGGGTGGTTGATAAAATATGTAGCCATAAAAAATGTATGCATTTAAAGTTTTTAAATGAATATCTTTTTCACTGAAAAGCAATCTGCAGTTGTGATATGGAAGATAAATGAAAGTGTCATGAATTGGCTATAACTTCCTATTTTGTTAGGGTAGTATTTTGATTTCATATCGAAATATGTGCAACCTTTTTCAGATGTTAAAATCACGATTATTTAATTGCAAAATTTGGATATAAAGTAGCTGTGTGTCACAGTTATGTATATCAAATATCATGTAGCACGTTTTTTCCCGTACCAGCAAATGTTAGGTATCAGCAAGGTGTTAGCACAGAAAATTTATCCACTTATAATATTCAGAGCATTGAGGATGCCGAGTACTTTTTTTAAGTGGAAGAAGTCCGTTTTTTTTTTTTTTAAGAGTTAAAAAAGAAAAATAATTTCGTACATTTGTTCCGACGCTGTGAGGCAGCATGTAAATAAAACCGTGACCGCGGACTTTATTCTTAGTTCGAAAGAAAATAATAAGGCCTTACTATCCATTTGGCAGGCAGCAGCTTGGTTTCTTTGCGCGTTTCCCCTTTTTATTATTATTTTATTATAATTCTTCCCAGCCTCTCCTTGTCGAGCTTTGAAAAGAAGCCGGGGTCTCGGGCCAGACCTCCCAAGTGGCTGAAGGTTTCTTATTCTTAGAACGCAAAGGTAGCCCGTCTTTTACTACTTACTTCTTACAGTTTCTCAGCCTGGTTCGATTTTTATTTTTATTTATTTTTAAAATTTTATTTTAGCTACCTTAATTTCTAATTTATTTGATGTTCTTTGTTGTAGTGCTCTTGAACTTGCTTTTTTATAGCAAGAATGGTATTTTTTTAGTACATTAGTCAATCGGTTTTACATCGCAGAACCAAAAATAGCATTTGTTAGTTTTTGAGATAGAGTCATGAATCGTATTCTTATTTCTGTAATTTTGTTTTTGTCGCTATGTTGGTATAACATCTGGTGCATATGTTGGTATGGAGCTTTTCTAATTCGATATTACAATTGCCGTCATTTCTTGCGTAATGAATTCTCTGTTCTGTAAAATCAGCCCATCTAGTTTATAAATCATCATTTTAACACTTTACATTTACATTACTACATACCAGGTTGTTCAAAAAGTTCTCGGAACGGAAATGAAGAAACCAATTTTTATTTGTAAAAATGACTTTATTTTTCAACGTTGTTTCCCTCAACTTCAATACGGTCATCCCAACGGTCTTCTATTTTATGGATCCCTTGACTGTAGTGGTTTTTCGGCAGCTCTACAAAATATCCCTCCACGGCAGCTATTACCTCTTCGTTTGAAGAAAATCGTTTTCTACGGAGATATTGTTTGAGGCGTGGGAAGAGCCAGAAGTCGGAGGAAGCTAAATCTGGCGAATAGGCGAAATGTTGCAACAATTCGTACTTCAATTCAGTTATTTTAGCAATGGTTTTTTTTGAGCTGTGTGCTCATCTGCGTTATCTTGGTGGAAAATGATTTTCTTCTTCTGTAATCCGGGTCTTCTTTCACGAATTTTTTCGTCTAATTGATTCAAAAGGTTACAATAATAATCCGAATTAATTGTTTTGCCAGTTTGAAGGTATCTATAAACGAAATTCCTTTCGCATCCCAAAAAACTGATGCTAACACCTTCTTGGCTGATTTTTGCACACGAACTCGCTTCGGCGCCGAAGAGTCGGGTTCACATCACTCCTTAGCCTCCTGTTTAGATTCAGGATCATGATAGTAGACCAAAGTCTCATCCATTGTGATAAATCGACGGATAAAGTCGCTTTTATTCTTCTTAAAACGCTCCAAATTTTGCTGGCAAAGTCGCATCCGAATGTGTTTTTGCTCCATCGTTAGAGGATGCGGCACCCATTCTGCACAGTTTTTTGAAACCCAAATAAACACTCAAAATATTGCTCACTGTGCCTAATGAAATGCCTAAAGCCTCTGTTAAATCTCTTTCAGTCAATCGACGGTCTTCCAATACCA